CCCCCCCCCCCCCCCCCCCCCCCCCCCCCCCCCCACCCCCCCCCCCCCCCCCCCCCCCCCCCCACCCACAACAAAACCAACAACAACTAAGGATCATACGGTCAAACAATGGTTGCACGAGTTCGGGTTAAATCAGCTTGCCAAATATTAATTTAGCCATTTCTCAGACTTGTATTAATCTAGTATTTACAAATAATTTAGATTCATTTGAGTATGTTGAAGTGACAGGAAAACTGATGTCAAACTGTGATCATGATCTTATTAAAATTAAGTTAGAAAACAGAAATCGAAGTGGGTATTCGAACAAACGCAAAATATTTGGTTGGTCGAGCCGGGTGAATCGAGATATATTGTCACATAAATTTTCTCACATTAATAACATTATAATTTCGACACAAAGCAGATAAAAATCAGAAAAAGTCGTATATAAATTATTCTATGTTACCGATAAGTCTAAAAAGGAAGATCGGATAGAGAATTCTATAAGCAAAAGGACGTTTCAAGAATTCTCGTCACAATACAAACATTCCTGCAGAAATTTCAAAATTTAAAAGGCGATTGAGCTTCTGTTAGAGAAAAATTTCGGAAAGAAGAAACTGTGATAAGGCATATTTTTCGCATCCAAAGTAGTTTCAAAGAAAACTACGAGGTTATTGATTAATATCTTTCCGGCACCGCACAGAAATATTTTCAAGTTCAAATTGAGATATTCGTAGATTCACCTTTTCATGCTCCATCAATTCATACCAAAGTGTCGAATTGAAAGTGTCGGAGATAATTTCTGGCGAATCGTTAAACCTGATGTATTGTGGAGCGAAGTTTCCGCTACAAAAATTTGGTGATGGTACAACATTTCGATGGTCTAATGTTGATGCTGTCAAAAATATAAATCCATTCACAAGTAATTTTCTCCGTCACACTCTGTATCATGAACAGCAGAAACTGATAAACGCGGTAAGCAGCGAGATACTTTCTAGTTTGATTTGTTTTACTCTTCATTTCATTTTTTCTCAGATGATGATAATTCGGACTCAGATACCGGTTCAAGCTCAGCATCTGACGATGACACAGGTGGGAAAGAAAAGAAGACTATAGTTCGCTGGATATATTTGACTGCGCTGAACCCGGTTGTACCCGAATACATGGTTATTTAATGAAACATATTACAATCGGAAAGCATCATACGAAATGAGAAAAAATGACTTTAGTTGACAAAAGTAAAGTTAAATATAAACACAAACTTGAATCAGTTCATTCACGTCCGTCACCAACATTATTCTTTCAAGTTGTTCGAAGGACAACAACCACGATCAAACGCCCATCATTAAAAGAGAATTGGACAGCAGCAAAAAAGAGAACAAGTATTCCATCTAATTCAAAGCAAAAAGATTTTTTAACAAAACAATTTGATGATGGAATCCGAAGTGATATGAAATATGATCCAACTCGTGTTGATGAAGAGATACATACGCGTACAAGCAATGGTCAATATTTATTTGATAAAAACGAATGTTTAACACCACAACAGATAAGAAGTTATTTTTCTCGGTTAGCAAAAAACCGAAAGAACACTTCCTGAAGAATTCAACAAACAACAGTTTCATCCCCAAAATACACAGTTAGTACCAGAATTTGCTGACAATGAAGATGATGAGACAGATGAACCAAACTCTAATGCCGTTGACGTCGGTGAACGTTTCGGTCCCAACAACTCCAGATCATAATCGATTAGAGTATTTCGATCACGTTCAGCAACGCAATTGTAACACAAACAAAGGCAACTAAACGTTAACATTTTTATAGAACTAGATCAGACTTTGTTTCTTGTTGCTCACAGTTGTCAGAATAACTATACATGAGTCCTTATGAGTGTTAAAGAGTTTGCAAAAACATTCATATCTATTTTCAAACATGAATGAGTTCGGCGAGTAAATAAAATATCTCGCTATCAAAACCATCCTTTTTTTTCTATAACGTAAAAACTAGTAGTTTAAGTTTGTATATGAAATCGAATATGTAATCGACTGGTCCGAAAAAACATGATTCCTATTTTAGTGTTTGGACAATGATTATTTGTAGAACAAACAACAACTCTATAATTATTGAGATTTTCAAGCAGATTACTAGAATATTAACGGATTCGTATTGGGAACACTTTTTGGATGCTACAGGCTAGGCATGCAACAGTACCAGTTCTTTACTGGTAAACTGGTACCGTTTAACTCGTTCTTACCGGTACCTGTTCCTTAACGGTTCACCAGTTCACGGTACCGGTTCCTTAACGGTTCACCAGTTCACGATACCGGATCCTTACCGATTCACCAGCTCACAGTACCGGTTCCTTAACAGTTCTTCTAC